GGGTTTAAAAAGTTTGGAAGGCTAATCTTCTGAACTCTTTTTGATGGCATCATGTTTAATGTTTGATTTTGGTTTTGGACCATGTGCTTTTGAGACCAAACAACTAACTGAAAAGCTTTTGGAACCACACATAGTTACTAGTTGGCTTTCACATAACATCTCTGGACTTACTCTGCATTATTTTTTAATGTCCCCAACCAGACGGTAAATGCCTTGAGAACAGGCCACTCTCATCTAAATCACTGCATCTCCAGCAGCGGCTCTCACTGTGCCTACTGAGCACCCGTCCCTGTTCTTAGAGATTTCTGCTGCATCTTCATAGTAACAAGAATGATGTTGTAACCACTCCCACTTAGTGGAGGAACAGTTGAGATGTAAAGAGTTTGGTGACCTCACAAGGCCAAGCTGGTATGTAGCACAGCCAGGACCTGAGTGAGGTCTGTGTGGGTCTAGAGCTGGCGTGAAGACACTGAGAGCGGGGTGCTGGGATCCAAGTCCCATTGGGCGTCAGGTGTCTGCTGGGAGATGAGGGCACGGTCCTGAGCTTAGGGCCTGCCTGGCAGGCCTCAGACCAGCTCTCAGAAGACTGTGAGGTCATGCTATAAAGACATGGTGAGGGCAGGGAAGGCTGGAGGCCAAAGGGCGGGCAAAAGGCAGACATGGGCTCAGAAATCTGCCCTGGCAGCTCTTTTCCCTTTAAAGGAGTCAATCTTTGTCTTGATTTGCTTTGTTCACTTGTGAAATGGGAATATTTTATAAAACTGACACACACTATCTAATAGGGTTGCTCTGAGGGCTCAAATGAGATTGTGCAGCTTTCCAAAGGGTCGCTGGAGCCTGTGGACCCAGAATGCCTGCACAGTATCATCAGCCTAATTCACATTAGGCACCAGGCACAGTGGGGCATGCATATCCTGACACAGCATTGCAGCCTAGCTCCTTAACATCGGGGAATCAGACACTGAATCTGAAAATGGGGGTGATGTCATATAATATGCCCAGCACATAGTTCCCTGGTGTCTCAGGAGTAAAGAACCCACCTGCCAATGCAGGAGACTTGGGTTTGATATCTGGGTTGGGAGGATCCCCTGGAGAAGGAAATGGCAACGCACCCTAGTATTCTTGCCTAGAGAATCCCATGAACAGACGAGCCTGGAGAGCTGCAGCCCATGGGGTTGCAAAAGAGTTGGATACGACTGAGCAGCTAAACCACAATAAGCACATAGTAGGTGCCCAGAAATTGGGGTGCTTACTCACGTCATCTTGCTGAAGCCAGCTTGGGCAGCCCTCTCAAAGGTCACTTCCCTAGGCTGTCCAGGAGGGGGCAGCAGGGAGCCATCCTGAAGGGAAGGAGTCCTGCCTGGGACTGCCTGCTCCTTAGGGAGGCCTGGCTCCAGCCCCGGACAAGGAGTGGAGTTCAGTGGGCCATCCTGTGGACCTCCTGACCATGGCTAGTTTTCTTGGAGGGAAATTCCCCTCTAATTGCACCGGATAAAATCTCCTGAGCTTTGCCAAGCAGTAGCCCCACCCTGGAAGACAGCCCCTGGGGTGATAATTTCTGGAGCATCTCCAGGTTTTGTGCTTTTGGAACCTTCCAGAAGGCTCTCCCTCGTCTAGATCAAGTTGCCCAGCCCACACCACGCCCCACATGTAGCAGAACACCTCAGTGGGCGGAGTCTCTCACTCCCCTCTCTGTCCCTGCTCTGAGTTCAGTTCTCGGCACCTCCTTGCTGCTCAGGGAATGACCCGTCCAATGACTGAACGACTGAATCTGCCCAGAGGTCATTTTGCCCAAACCTCACTGGGAGGCAATGGCTCCATGGTCTCCACCATGAGACCTGAGGACGGTGACCACATCGTAACCGTCTTTGACTGTCTATAGCACCTCACAGGGCCTTCCCACGTGGCTCATTGGTAAAGAATCTGCCGGCCAGTGCAGGAGGTGCAGGAAACACTGGCTCAATCCCTGGGTCAGGGAGATCCCCTGGAGTAGGAAATGGCAACCCATGCCAGTATTCTTGCCTGGAAAATTCCATGGACAGAGGCACCTGGCAGGCTACAGTCCATGGGGTTGCCAAGAGTCAGACACGACTGAGCACATATGCAGCAGCAGCAGCCCAGAGACACTGGGCCCCGAGGCTCTGAGTGCTGGCCCTCGGCTTAGAGGACGTGGACCTGCTAGGACTTCGAGGGTCACTGGGACCTCAGCCGCTCAGCCCTGATTCTCCATTACAGCGTGGAGAAGGCTCAAGCCCTCTGACCAGCAGGGGAAGCCCTGTGCCTTTTGATGTCCTGGCCTCCTCTGTCCCAATACTCTGTCCTACCTGCTCCCAACCCCAACTCCAGTCTGCCACCTCCTGGCTGCAGCTCATCTGTCCATGTCTCCCAATCCTTCTATACTTCCTTTCTCCCTCCTCTGGGAAGTCTTATTTTTTGTTTTTGTTTTTGTTTATGATTTATTTTTTTGACTGTGTCATGCTTGGCATGTGGGATCCTAGTTCCCTGAGGAGGGATTGAACCTGTGCCCCCTGCAGTGGAGACATGGGACGCTCGGAGTCTTAGACACTGGACCTTGAGGGAAGTCCATGGGAAGCCTCCTCGATCACCTGTTCTTGCCCTCACCACACCCCTGCATACGACTGCACTGAGGCCCCTGCCCCAAATAGCACCAACAACCCATTTCCCTTCTGGACTGTGACCTCCCCGTGGCAGGGTCTCAAGGCCGTTCAAAATGTTTGTGGAATGAATGAACGAGGCCTGCCACCCAGCCCACAAAGCCCTCTTCCCATGAGCTCCCCAACAGGACGTGGGGAATTTCCTCCAGGATGTCCTGTTGTGCCCTCACACCCACCCATCTGGGACAAGATGTTCCAAACACCCCCAGCAGCAGCCTCGCTTCAGGCCAGCCCCGGGACTCCGTCCTCTGTCAGCACAGTGCTCAGGGGTGCCAGGCTGCCCTTCCCAAACGCAGCTTGGTGACGACAGCCCTAGGCTCAGGGAACTGCCACAGCTCTCCTTTGGTTCTGCAGGGTTAGCTCTATGCCTCATTCGTGTAAGCCCTCCGAGAAGTCACGTCCTCCCTGGAGACTGCCACGTGGCCAGCGAGCCCCCCTCACACCTGTTACCCTCGTCACAACGGCTTTCCCTCCAGCTCATCTGGAGCTAAGGGCCTCCGCTGGCGCTCTTCTGCTCACCAGGAAGCCACCGTCTTTGCCCCGACCCTCCTCGTCCGACCTGCCTGACTGCTGGAGCCTCAGTGCTGCGGTGTAAGGACGCGCACACACTCACTAAGCCTGTGCGTCAGCCTCTGCTGAAGTGGACCGCGAGCTCCTTGTGTTTCTTCCCACACCCCTGCCTTGCTCCGTTCCCGGCGCCCTCCCTAGACTGCAGACCACTGCCCTTCAGCGAACAGGGAGGGCTGAAGATAGGCTCCCAGAGTAACCCCTAGAAGCCCGGGTCCCATGGGGGCCTCCCCTCCTAACTCCTCACTGGGACTTGTCCTCGGGAGGGTCTGGTGCGGCGCCTGAGAGACTCTGCAAGGCAGGGCAGGAGACCGCGAGCTCTCGGTGATGTTGGGTCATCCAGCGCGCTCACGCAGCCGGGTGTGCTCCAAGGGTTATTACAGTAGGGGTCTCGGTGATTTGGGGTCACCCAGTGCGCTCACGCATCCAGGTGTGCTCCAAGGGCTATTGCAGTAGGGGTCTCGGTGATTTGGGGTCACCCAGCACGCTCAAGAAGCTGGGCATGTTCCAAGGACTATTGCAGTAGGGGTCTCGGTGATTTGGGGTCACCCAGCACGCTCACGCAGCCGGGCGTGTTCCAAGGGTTACTACAGTAGGTCCAGAGCGTCATGGACGAGAAGTAATAGTAGAAGGCGATGCAGACGACCACGTTATAGTGGATTCCGATGTATGTGGACACCAGCATCATGCCGTAGCCCACACCTAGGGGAGAGGAAGGGCAGGAGCAGCCTCACACCGAGCTGAAGGCTGCGAAGCTACTTTTGAAGGGGCAAAGGGGCAGGCTTTCGTGGAGGGCCACAGACAGGGGCAGACCGACAACTTGGCAGGAGCAAGCTGGAGGCTGGGTGGGGGGAGAGGGCTAAGGGCTTTTGTGTATGCCTTCGGTAGGAGGAGAGGGTGGAGGCCAAGAAAACAATGGATCCCAGCATGGGTCCCTGGCCTTGGCCATTGATGTGGGTCTCGGGTCAACACCTGGGTTCCATAGGGGTTGGCAGTCTTTATACAGATGAGTGAGTCAGCACGGCCCCCAGAGGCCCTTGTGTGTGTGTGTATCACATCTGGGCCTCACCTTTGAACATGGGGCTGATCCTCCAGAACCCCAGGCAGCCCTGACTTGCAAACTGGCCTAAGGTGAGTTCCATGAAGAAGAGGGGCATCCCGCAGAAGATGAGAATGATGAAGAAGGGGATCATGAAGTCTCCTGGTGGGCAGGGAGAGGGCTGGCTCAGGGCCGACTTTGGGGGATCCCACCCTCTTCCTGCTCAGAACCTGACAGCAGAACCTTTGCAATTGACTGGGCTTCAGGAGGGTGTGCCATGCCCTGGACTAGAGCCTCAGTCTGAGGCACACTGCTCACGGCGTTTTTGAACATGATAGGGGTTCCCAGGAAATCTGCTCTGAGCTGAACCCAGGTCCCAGAGCCACCATGTTTGGGTGGGAATTGATGACTTAACCAAGCAATTTCACACACATTAGCCGATGGGGTCCTCAGATATTCCCAAATCATTTTGGGGTTGGCTGGTGAAATGCAGGGGGTATAAAACAGACTTGGGAGGTTGGGTTGCTTTCTCCCCTAGGGCTCAGGCTGCCAGGCTGATCACCCCTAAGCCAGGGGTTGGGGCAAAGGAGATTAGGGCCAGAGGCCAGCCTGTCTGGAGTGGGGTCTGTGCCGGAAGGGGCTGGCTGGGCCCTGGTGGCTGGGCTCTATCCATGTGGGTGGTCCCTGCCCTGTGCCCACTGGGCACCTCCTCCGTTGCACTAGCAGGGGTATGGGAAGCAGCAGACACTGCCCAGGCCCACAGCGTAGCCCACGCTTCTCATCAAGTCGATCCGGCTGCCCCAGGTGCCCCGCTGGTGGCTGTGGTCCTCCTCGGTGGCCTTGCTGGGCATAGCACTGTTCTATGCAGATGGGAGAAAAGCCACCATCAGCAAGGCACTGGCATGAGGGGCCTGACCCTTCAGGCTGCCCCCAGTGGGGACACCGTGGGCCCTCCAGGCCCCCACCCCCACCCTGGGCTTCCCCTCTGCTGGCGGGAGCTGCAGGCAGGCCTGGCGGAGGAGCACAGAGGGCAGAGTGGCTGCCAGAGGGTGCCAAGCGGAGCCGCCCTCACCAGCCCCCCAGCACCCCGTGCTGGGGGCACCAGCCCACCCGAGGAGCTGCTGCCAGCATCTGAGAGGTGGGACACTGAGAGGGAGCTCGAGTTGAGAGCCCCCAGCCCCAGCCCCTCCAAAGCCTCCCCTCTCTCCTCTGGGTGAGGATCTGGGAGCAGCTGAGCCTCATACCAAGCAGCCAAGCTGGGCTGGGCCCAAAGGGGCCTGTGTCCAGACAGCCCATCAACCCGCCGCCATCATATCGCCAGGCTGAGCATGCTGCCCATGGCAGGTGGCTGTGGGGGAGGGGGTGCTGGACCCCTGCGCCAGCTGAAGGCTTTTTCTAGGGGGCATCTGGTGGTCAGGGCTGTAGGCTACAAGAAGGGGAAGCAACTGAGCTGGGTCAGACCTGAGGAAGGCATTCTGGGACTCAGGATGGAAAGGCCAGGGGAGCCACCACTGACTGCCCATGACTGGGGAGGGGATCCCTGGGGATGCTGACCTGGGCTGGGTGGGGTGAGACCAGAGTTGTAGGCACCACGCCAGACTTGGAGGACAGACTCTGGGCAGTTCTAGTTGGGAACTGGAAGGGGGTGACTCCAGAAAAGGGTCTCTGAGCTGAAAGAGCATGGACTGCAGAAGAGGGGACTGGTCAGGAAGGGCTGATGAGGGTGATCGCCACAAAGGAAGGATGCGGGCTTGCCTGGGGAGCTGTGGGGCTGGACTGGGTGGCCTGAGGCCCCACTGAGGACCCCAGGCCCTTTATACGTGTGAGCAGACGAATCCCCACAAGTCAGCCACCCTGAGCCAGAGCCTGGGGGGTCAGAGGAGTCTCACTAAGAGGCAAGGGAGGACCTGAGTGACAGGGCAGCCTCCCAGAGGTGGGCTGCTCTCCTGAGAGGGGCCAGGGGCCCCTGAGGACACCCAGGATCAGAGACACAGCCGCACGACCTCTGGGGACAGCACGGTGGTGACACTGACCCTCAGTCTGCAAGAGATTCACGGCGCACAGGCAAACAGACGGGCCTGATGCTGGGCTCTGACACGGGCCGACAGGCGCAGAGTGGGGGATGGTCTCACCGGGCCTGCGCCTTCCAGGAGGGCCCATTTGGGAAGGCAGGCCCAGAGGCCCCAGCACCTGAAGGTGGCCCTCCTAGCCACGCACCCTTTGCTCTGAGTGGGCGCATCTGGGGGGCCACTTCGGGCTTGCACAGCACGGGGGCACTACTGCACAGACACCCTTGTCCTGCACAAAGGTGTCACTGCCCAGAGGAGACCCTGAGCCTCAGTGGTCCTGGGAGGTTTGGGGCCCAGTACCAGGAACCCTTCACAGGGCACCCAGAGCCGACCAGCAGAGCCTGTGTGCATCATTCGTGGAGGTTGACAAGCACCTACTATGTGCCGCCCACCCCACCCCCCCCCACTCCAGGCTCAGGAAATTCAGAAGGGGACAAAGCACAGCTGGCCCGCTCAGAGCTCAAAGTCCCGGGGAGGGAGCTGTCCCGGCCCGGCCTGGGTGCTGGCGAACATTCCACAGGGCCTGTCACCTCCCCGCTGAGACGCTGGCCCGCCCCTCCCCCATCCTCACCAGGCAGCCCCTGTACCAAGTCCCCCTGCCCCTCACCCACTCTCCCCATAGGAGTAACTGCCATGGCGCAGACAATGGGGCTGGGTTGATTCCTGGGCACCTCCGGCCGTCTAGCCGGGAGCTAGGACAGTGCAGCTTTGGTACACAGGGCAGACTCTCAGCAGGCCCTAGGGCCGAGGTGGGGGGCTTTCACACCCCCATTCTCTTCTCCCGTGCCCCACCACACGGCCAACTCTTCCTGCTCCTTTGCACACTTGCAACTTTCTGCGTCACTTTTGCTGGTGTTTGCCTCTATGGCTTGACCTCCTGGAAAGTGACTGACCTGTTCTGGGGAGGAGAGGTCCACAGGTCCCTGAGCTGCCGCCATCCTGGGGTGAACACTTGTAATGGAGTGCGTGCGTCTCCTCCACTCATTCACACCTCTGCCAGCTCCTGGCGACACTGACACATCCCCTGTCTCTTCCACTGCCTGCTGGGCGGCGTCAGTTACTCTCACCTCATCTCCTCCCAAAGCTCTGCCTACCCCCTCCCCTGGCCCTCCCGCTCCGGCCGTCCCCATGCCGCCCAGCGCAGGTGCTCGGCAGCTAGAGTGCGGCGTGGGGCTTGGTGTGTTTCTCCTTTGCTCCCACACACACTCACAACCACAGGGTGAGGCAGAGTGGGAGCAGGAGAGAGAGAGGGCGGCTCATTCCCATTCTAGAGTGAGGCGTGGGACTTGGTGTGTTTCTCCATGTTCCCACACACACTCACAACCACAGGATGAGGCAGAAGGGGCGCAGAGAGAGAGAAGGTGGCTCATTCCCATTGTAGAGTGGGGTCTGGGGCCCAGATGCTTCTGAGAGCACAGGGCTGGCACTGGGTGGGCTCCCGGTAGCGAGGCTGGGTACCACTGGCAGTAGAGATGGTGACGGGACAGGAGAAGGGGATGCAGCTACAGGGCCACCAGAGCCTCTCAGACTTTGCAGAGAGCTGTGGGCCGAGGGGTGATGGGCCCTGGAGCAATCCCCCCAGGACTCGGGGATCTCCAGCCAGCCAAGATGGTTAAAAGAATGGACTGACTGTGCAAAAGAGTTGTGTCCTGGTGAACTGCGCTGTCACCTGTCTGAAGACAGATGGCATTAGCCAAGAGGGGAGCTGCAGACCACATACCCCTGAGGATATGCACTGCGTCAGCTGAACCTGAGGAGGACCCTCTGAGAGAGTGTGCCGAGTGGTCTGCGTAGACTGTCACTCAGACCCTCAATGCCTCTTCTCCGAGGCAACACTCACTGGTCAGTCTCCAGGGGGTGCTGAGACACCACAAACCAGTGACCAGGAGGGTGGGCACAAGTGTTCTGGTGCTGGGAAGACACAGCTTTCAGTTTTTGGAAACTGATGGGTGGGCCACGGGTCTGGTATAGAGTAGGATCTTGATCCAAGATCAAGCATGAATTCTGATGTAAAGGACAGCTTCCCTGTGAGTTTGGTAAATGTGCTGACCCCAACGGGAACATGGCAGGATGATACTATTTTAAACTTTTTTGTTACTATTATTTTAAAAATGTTTACTGGGCTGCCTTGGGTCTAAGTTGCAGCGCATGGGCTCTTTAGTTGTGGTACAACAGCTTAGTTTCTCCACAGCCTGTGGGGTCTCATCTCTCTGACCAGCGGCATTGAACCCGTGTCCCCTGCAGTGCAAGCTGGACTCCTAGCCACTGGACGACCAGCGAGTCCCTGCATCATTATGGCAAAGTCTTCAGAGTCAGACAGGCCTGGGTTCCAACCCCAGCCCTGGTGGATCTCCCTCCATGTATCTCCTTAGGCAAGTTACTTTACTTGTCTGGTCTTAGTTTCTTTATCTCTAAAATGGGGATCATATCTACCCATCTTTGAAGCTAGTGAGCATTATAAATAATAGTAATAGATAATATATATGAAATGCTTACTGTGAGCCAGATGCTGTCCTAAACACTTCATATTAATATATATTAACTCATCCAATCCTCCCAACAGCCCCTCGAGTCGGGTATGCTACTATGCCCATTTTGGGAGAGAAGATGGGGAGTGATCTTGCCTCAAGCAAGTCTCCCAAGAGAATGGCCTCAGACCCTAGCGACTGAGCTGCTTCCAGGCCAGCTTCATGCAGCCGGGTCCCCAGACACACTCTGCTGACTTCTGCTGACTTCCTGCAAGTCCAGACTGAGGGCCAAGCCCCTGGCTGGGCCACTGGCTCCAGGAAGGCCCAGTCACCCATGATGCCCAAATGTTCACTTCTACCCAGGGTAGGCTCTGGGCTTTGGCTGCCCTGGCCTGGGCCAGGTGCCCAGAACAGGCAGCCCTGGCTGGACAGCTTTCTCTGGCTCTGGCCTTGGAGACAGCAGGCAGCCGCAGCCCTGCTGGATCCTGGCCATAATGAGGCCTCATTAGTGGGATCCAGTTGTTCTAGCCCCACTCAGGGAGGCCGGCTCCCCCCGAGGACATCCAAATGATGCTGGGGTTCCCACCGCCCCACTTCTTCCAGATATGCTGGCGCTTCATCTCACCAACTATCATCTTTGTAAGTTCCTTGCTGGTCCCACCCCTGCTGTCCCCATGGCAAGCATCCTTCTCTTGGGAACCAGCCAAGGAAGAACACGAGCCCAACCATTAGGCCAGAGCTCCTCCTGGGGGCTCCGCACCTACAGCTCTGGTCACTGGAAGTCTGAGCAAAGCTGTATAGAGTCAGACAGGTATGGAGACTCAGAATCACCTAAGCCCTGGCCTTGGGTTAGGAAGGGAGCACAAGACCCTGTACTTGACAGAAGACAGTGCCCAGCTTCCGAAGGGGAAAATAGGCTGGCAGCAGCTGAGAGCCGGCCCTCCTTCCCTGGTATTTCCACCTGGCATCCCCCCAGAGGAGCCCCACGGGAATCATGACTGACCTTGGCATTGGTCTCTGACAGCCTCACTGAGCTCGTGTCTCTAGCCCTCATAGCCGAGGTGCTTGGAGTGCTCAGGATATGTGGTGTGAATGCGTGTTCCAGAAGCAGGCTGTGCAAGTCAGATATCAGCTCAGGATCTGGGACACCATCCTAAGCCACCCTGGAATAGGCTGGCTTGGGAGGGGAGTTCTGGGTTTCCACCAGTATTCAACACCTGAAAGACAGACCCCCCAGCAGGGAGTGGAAGTGGTGGAGGGAAAGTCCACCATAACCAGGAACAATATACTAAGCCTAATGATACAACTCTCCATGGTTTCATTATTATCCCCACTCTACAGATGAGGAAACTGAGGCCCTGAGATGTTAAGTAATTGACCCAAGGTTATATGGCTTCTAAGAGTCAGAGCCCTCATGCAAAGCAGGTGCTCTGATCTGGAGCGTGTGTGCTGGGCCCATGGTGCACTAGACACAAATTTAGGAGGAGGAGTGGTCTGTGGAGTACAAACCTTCTGATTGTGTTCCTTTATGACCAAGGTGAGAAGTCAGGGGCGGGGGTGAGGGGTGGGGGGAGGGATTTGCTAGCGTAATGGTCCCTCCACAGAGAAGAGTCAGGGCTGTCTCTGAGTGACAGAGGGCTCAGCCCGATGGTCAGGGTAGTGTCTGGAGTCGTGCCTCGCGTTGTACCAGCTCCTCTGTGCCACAGAGAGGTCAGCACTGGATTTCCACATTGGCTCATGTTTCTGGGGAGGAAAAAAAAAAAAAGGCCCCTGAGGGCTGAGACCTCCATCACATGGGGTGTGGGATCTTCTGGAGCCGGGCACAGGCACCAGCTCTGGCCACTGGCCCAGCTTTGAACCAGGAGGAGCGGAAGTGTCCTGTAGGTGGCGGGAGGCGGGGGAGGGCAGTTGCCACCGCCAAGTGCAGTGCCCTTGGGGGTTTTGGCTTTCGCCCAGGACCAGCCCTAGGGGAGCTCATCCTCCAGGGCTCCCAGGAAGCTGCCGCCCTGTGGGGAGACCCGGGCACCGCCCAGGCAGGGCAGGATGCAGCAGGCAGCCTGGGTCCAGTGTCTCCAGGAAACTGAGGCAAAGCCCGCAGCATCCTCTCTGTGCTCAGAAAGCCAGGCTGGAATCACCTTTGGATGAGGATGCCAGGCTCTGTAGACCGCGTGCTTCTGGGCTGTTAGTTTTCTTTTGGAGGCTTTACTTTATAATGCTGAAAATATTTTTTTTTTTTTTTTTTACAAACTACATCATTCTATCAGCTCAAAGAAGATAAAGAATTTGTCCACATATTAGATCAGGCTCTAGTTCCATTCAGGAAACTTTTTATAAGCTCCTCTAAGTGCAGCGTCCCCCAGATGTGGATCTTGACTTCTAGAATTTAGTCACTAAAATGGCTGGAGGGGTCTGAGCTCCAGGACGTGGCTGAAGGCTTGGGAGATGTATGCTGAGGCCTCCTGGCAAGCAGCACCTATTGTCCCAGGCCCTCCAAGTGGCCCATGAATCAACTGCCCATCTTTCTGCTTCCTATAGTATTTTTGTTGCTGCAGCCCTAGGATTTATCTCTGGTGTCCCTCAGCTCTTTTCAAAGTGGTTTCTGAGAGCGCCCCCAGCCTGACAGGGTTTCTAGGCTTCAGAGCCTCCCCCGGCTGTCTATTGCCATCTCTGCAGCCATAGACTGGCAGAACTTCTCCCTTTCCTTTCCCCAATTGCTCCCACTTCCCTGCATAAGTCAGTTCAGATCAGCACATGAGATTGTGCCAGGCGCTGTGCTGGGCACTGGACACCTAGAACTGATGCAATCCCAGGAGCTCCCAGGTCTGGAGAAAACGTTAAAAAAATGCTTCAGTTCAGTTCAGTCGCTCAGTCGTGTCCAACTCTTTGTGACCCCATGAACCGCAGCACGCCAGACCTCCCTGTCCATCACTAACTCCTGGAGTTTGCCCAAACTCATGTCCATTGAGTCAGTGATGCCATCTCATCCTCTGCTCTTTCCCAGCATCAGGGTCTTTTCAAATGAGTCAGCTCTTCACATGAGGTGGCCAAAGTATTGGAGTTTCAGCTTCAGCATCAGTCCTTCCAATGAACACTCAGGACTGATCTCCTTTAGGATGGACTGGTTGGATCTCCTTGCAGTCCAAGGGACTCTCAAGAGTCTTCTCCAACACCACAGTTCAAAAAATGCAAAATGCTTAGTAGATGGAAAATGCCATTGAAGCCTCAAAGGCCACAGATTCGGCCTTACTTCAGCAGGCAGTGGGGGGCCATTGCAAATCTGAGTAGAACTGACTTCCAAGGGCCATGGCAACTGAACAGTTTCTTGCCTGCTTCAGGATTATTCAGAAGCCAGACCCCTCCCCCTCCACAGTGCCCACCTGCCCATCATACCCTGGACCCCTGGTGCCATCAGCTTCTTCCACTATGCAAACATTGATGTCACCCCTACCCTCCCTGAAATGCCTCTTTCTAGTCTGGGAAACTGGAGAGGGAGGGGAGCATGCTGATAGGAGGCCTAAGGCCTGGGTGGGGCTGGGCAGTACTCATGCCCACTCCCAACCCCTACTCTTTGCAGTTTATGCTCATCTTCCTGGTGATCGAGTACCAGCCAACAACAGAAATATCCAAGGTGGGCCGAGGCCATTGGCTTCTTCATAGCTCTGTCCTCTGTGGTGCGCATTCCACTCTACACCCTGTTCCACTGCTGGAGGACAGATGGGGACACCCTTCTCCAGGTGAGGGGTGGGGACAGGGGCAGCCAGGTGAATCAGAAGGGGGTGGATGGATGGATGGCACTCCAGGGCTCCCTTCTGATGCACTCTGCCCGCCCATCCCTTCCCATGCCTACCTCTCCTGCAGCGTTTGAAAAACTCAACAAAGCTGAGTGGAGACTGGGGTCCCGCGCTCTTGGAGCACCGAACAGGGCGCTGCGCCCCCACTATTCCACGCTCCCCTGAAGATGGGCTTGAGTCCCAGCCGCTGTCCCTGGACGGTGCCCAGGTTACTGGGCAGTAATGACTCCAGCCGTCTGCAGGACTCCCAGGTGCCAGCACAGCTGCCAGGGGAGTGCCCCACCCCCACCCTGTGCTCCCAACACAGAGACTGGGGAGACAGCGGGTAGGTGTCACCATCTGCCCCCACCATGCCCTGGCCAGGGGTGGCACCTGTCACCTTGGCCACCACTGCTAGCACGGTCATTCGTGTTCATGTCCCTAGTGTTTACAGGTCCTTTAGGTGCCAAGATGGCAGCTGGGGGGTGTGGGTGGTGTGGGGGTTGCTGGGGGGCCCCAGGTCAGGCCCCCAGATGCCTGCTGGGCTCCACGTGGCCTCTGATGCCCCCACACTCTGCCCTGAGCTGAGGTTCTGGGTGGGTCCCCTACCTGTCTCTGAGCCTTTGGCCTCCTGACCAGAATTCCCACCCTTGGGGTGGACCCCAGCCTCCGCCCAGGCTAATTCAGGTCTTCCTACCTGGAGGCAGGGTGAGGGGCTGGGGGGAGCTGTGCAGTGTTACGGGTCAGGCTGTGTGGCCCGGCCTTTTTGTCTGATTATTTTTGTAAAAATTGTATTATCTGTGGTTGCTACCCCCTCACCCTCGGCTTCAGGCCCAATCTGTCTTCCAGGCCCGCCTGCACGTCCCTCGGCAGCTCTGAGGTCTCTGCGCCTCCTTCCAGCACTGGCTGTCAGGGCCAGCCCAGCAGAGGTCCATGACCCAACAGCCCGCCCAAAGAACTCTTTTCTCGGGGGTAGAGATGGGGTGATGCTCAGCAGGAGGTTTGAGCCCAGAGACCAGGGGAAGTGGACCCTACACAACACCCCCTTGCCCTACCACCACCAGGCTAAAGCCCAGTCTTCCCGAACTGGGCTACCCTTGTTCAGGTGCCAAATTGCCCCAGCCCATGTGCCCCAACCACTCTCTGGAGCCAAAACTCCTTTCCCCAAGCCCTGCAGTGTCTGTGTGTCTGTCCTCTGCGCCCCTCTGTGCAGTGACAGCCCGGGAAGAGCTGCCTCTAATCCCCTGTAGCAATAACGGTGCGCCTCCCATCCCCAACCATCTGCGCACCACTAGGTTTTTAAAGTCCACAGATTTTAATGAAATTTCTATTCCTGTCTCTGAGCTGCTGCTGTGTTTTGTCTGGGTCCTCCAGGGGGACATGAGTCAGGGCTGGGACAAGACCTCCTTCTGCCAGGCCTTTGGGGGGATGCCTGGGAGGAGAAAGGCCAGAGGCTGTGACAGTCAGGACCGGACACTGAGGACCTGCTGAGAAGGTAGGGTGAGGGCCAGACAGACAGACAGCAGTGGACTCCTGGGGAGGGCTCATCCTAGACTAGATCAGAAGTGGGCTGGACCCTGGCAGCTGAAAGAGAGCAGTAGCAGACAGGACGAGTTCCAGCCGAAACTGAAGCCTCCTTCCTAGGCAGCCCTTCAGGTTGGGGCCTGGGGCGCTGCACTGGACGTCGGAGTAGAAGCTGGCCTTTTCCCGGGGAGGCACTGAATCTTCTGTCCCCAGCGGCAGGTGGCGGCCAGGCCGCGAGGTTTGGGGCAGCGCTCCAGAAGGGAGTGGGCAGGCAGCACTGGAGAAGCCTGTCCCGAACTCCAGCAGCCCCGTGGAGGCAAGGCAGGAGTCCGGTGTCCTGGCTGGAGGACCCTAAGGGCTGTGGCCTGAATGGGAGGGAGTAACTGTGAGGGGGCCGTGGCCTGCCCCTCAGCCTGCCCCATCCAGCTGTCTGTCTGCTCTGGGTTACCTGTGGCTGGGGGAGACACAGGAAGGACTCAGGGGTGCCTGCAGCTCCTGTTGCCTGGCTGCCTTCTGTTCCTTTAGCTCTGGAGGAGAGATTCTGCCTGGGACACAGCGCCCGGTCTTCCAGGGTGTGTTACAAGAGCAAGGTGGGATGGGTGTGGGTGGGGTGGAAGTGGGAAGGGTGGAGCGCTGGGTGCTCTGGGACCTGCTAGGGTCCTCACCTGCCAGGGTGGGCTCTAGGCTTGCCTCAGAGGGCCAGGGGGCCCCTGAATACTCGTCTTCCAGGCAGCACTGCAGGGAGAGCTGTCTCAGTGCCTGGCTTTACGGCAGGATGCCCAGGCCAGGATCCCCATGGTGGGGCGCAGGAACCAGCCCGTGCAGTCTCTTCCTCCCAATCACCTGGGGGCACTCCTGAGAGGAACACCAGCCTCTCCCTGAAAAGCTGAGCTTGGCAAGAGGGTGGCAGGCCTGAACCCAGACTTAGGGAAGAGAAGGAGGCAAAAGACCTAGGCAGACCCAGCAGTTGATCTAAAAGTGCTGACCTTGGACTTAGGGACTCAACTGGAATATGGGTTCATGTACTTAAGGATCACACACATAAGTGTGCACACAGGAAAAATGGACCCAGGGTTCACACAGCCTCTGCAGGTGTGTGGATCTCACGCCCTGGGTGAGAGACGGGGGTGTCTACGCTCAGCAGAAGGGCTGGGGGCGGGGCGGCCAAGGACTGCAGCTCACCTGCAGGATGGGAATCCCCTCTCCAGAGCATGGCACTCTTCCTCCAGGAGGGCCCTGGGACATGGACAGTGTGGCACCGGAAGCAGTGCTACAGGCCCAGGTCTCAGCAGAGCCCTCCACGCGGTCCCAACCTCCGGCCTCCCCAGGAGCCTCCTCTAGGCCCTCCTATCTCAGTCCACCTCTCCCTCTGCTGCCCTCATGCTGTTCCAGCACAGCCTTGCAGCCCTGCCAGCCTCTTCCTGGGCAAGGTGTGTCCTCTCTCCTTGCCCACCTCCCAGTGCCCACCCTCGGAAGCAGCAGTCTCTCTTCTACATGATAGAACTAGACTTGCGGGTCCTCCTGCCTCCATTCTCTCCCACATGACAGCCCTGCCCCTGCATTAAAAACTCTTCTGTGTGTCATCTCTTCCCCACCTCCCAGGATAAAAGTCCTCAGGCCAAGGCCCATGTAGGCATCTGTACTTGACTGATTCCTGGCAGCAACCTCATCAGCATCCTGCCCTTTCCACCTCTCAGCCCCACTCTCCTGGGTCTCCCAGCCAGGTGTGTTCCCTCCCTTCTCCTCCCAGTAGTCCCAGTACATCAGGGTCCATCCACAGTCCCACCGTCCCTGTCCCCACCCCCACTGCACACACTTGGGGGCCTCACTGCACGTGTCCAGAAGGCTGGTCAATGTGGGACACATTCAGCTGGTCCTTGATGACGCTGAGGTCCTGGTGACAGCTGCTGGCAGATGAAGTCAGCCTCACTCGCCCATGCTACTTCACCCCAGGCCTTCAGGACACAAACGCCACTTCTCCTAGACAATTTTGTGCTTTCTCACAAAGGCAAGACAAGATGGTAGTAAAAGGAGGAGATCTGGAGCCTGGGATTGCACATGGGTTCTGCAGCCCTTTACTATGTGTGAGTTTGTGAAAGTCAATCATCCCTTCTGAGCTTTAGTATCATCTGCAAAATGGGGCCATCACCCCCTTCATAAGGATGTGTGAGAAATAAGTTGCTACCATTCACGGATGAACATGCTGCTGCTCATTTATCTCGTTCAGTCCCTAGCCCTCTCTAACCCAGTCCTCGCAGCCTGGCTATCCCAGCCTGAGGGACAACCGGCCACTGGGTGAAGTCTCTCCTTCCACTCCTATCTGCGTGTCCTTCTCTGTCTCCCTGCAAAGCGCTTCTCTTTGTATCTGTCTGGAAGTCTGTTTCTTGTACTCTAAAACCCAGCTGGAACCAAGCTCCCAGGACTGGCACGTGCTTCCTGGGTCTCTGCAGCCCTCACGGGCTGACCTCTGCCACAGGTGGCTGTAGAAGTGTCAGTCCCAGGCCAGGAATTCCTCCATGCTCGCAGGTGGGACCTACCAGCTGGCTGGGGTCTTTTGCCCAGCAAGGACAGATCCCTTCTCTCCTACTGCTACACCTGGGTTCACCAGCTCTCATCTGGAACATCTCCTGTTCTGGCAAATCAGGCCTGGGCTCCTCCAAGGCAAAGTGCAGGACCCTGGGGCTATACTGGACCCAAACGTGGGTCTGGTCCCTGCAGAAGATGCATAAAGGCAACTGAGGGGCTCCTTTCAGGGAACCACAGGAAAGGTGATCCTGGACCCTTGTCAGTTGCCAGGCTAGCCCATCTGAGTTCTGGAAACAGGGCCCAGACCCAGGTCTGGAGCTCCAACCTGCCCTCACAGATGGCCTTCCGGTGGAGACCTTGGAGCAGCTGCCACAGTTCCTGGCGCACAAGATCTCTTAGGAGGGGCGGTGGTGCCAGAAGGGAGGAGAGGTCAGAGGTGGGGCGCTATCCAGAGGCTTGGATAGATCGAGCCTCTTGGAGCAATGATCGTAACATCACTACCTGCAAGGACAGCTGGGGCACCTCGGCGACTGCGGAGGGAAGTGAAGGGAGGCAGGGGAGCTGGGGGAATGAGGGGCAGGGCAGTTAAACTGGAGAGGGTTGGGCGGACAATGAGATCCGACAAGAGCTCGAGAGTTACTGGGCAGGGCTAGGGACCCGTAGAAGGTGAGAAAATCATCCGAGTCCTGGGACAGGTCTGCCTTGGGGCTCACCTTCCTACGCCCCACCTCTGCCCGTAGCTCCAGGCCCAGATCCACTGTCGTCTCCCCTAGAATCCTCTTCACTTCGGGCAGCTCCGGGAGTGGAACGTGCTCTTCCACCAGTTCCCACAGCTGCTGGAAGTCCCCAGGCATGGCCCGCCCGCGCCGCTGCCCCACCCAGACAGCGGCGGGCCCACAGCTTGGAGTGCTGGGTATACTGCTAGTCGCCCAAGGCCGGGCACCCCGACTCACGCCTCGCACGCTTCCGGGTCTCACGGGCCACGCCCCCAGCCTGTCACTCAGACCAGCCTCTCCCAAGCCTCATTCCGTTCGGCCGCCCGTCCCCACGACTAGAGTTGCTCGGTCCAGAGCCGCTGGCCTCTGGCGCTCTCTTCTGCCCTACTACTGATCGACTCTCGGAGGCCACGGTTTCAGGTCGCAGCCTGGGGAGCCTGGAGTCCCGTGCCTCGCCTCTTCCGCGCGGCCGTCACCCGGGAAACGGGGCCCGCTACCCCAAGCCCCGCCCCGAGGGCCCCGGCCCCGCCCATTCCGGGGCGGTGCCAGCTAGCAAAGCCCAACCCACAGCCGCCGTAGGTGGTTTCGCAGTCTCAACCATGCACATCACCCTGACTCCCAGCACCTTTCATCGCTGGGCACCTTTAGACTCCAGGGCAGGTGAAAGAACCGAGAAATATGAGCCCGGTGGGTTTATTAGTCCCGTGCCTTTTCTGGGGCAGGAACGGACTAGGCTGGTCAAGGAAGACAAGTAAAGGGTGGAGTGTGTGAGAAACAGGAGGAGGGGAGGGAGGCGGTAGGTCGAGGGGGACCAAGGGGCCAGATGAGCAGCGTCTCACAGAGCCCCTCTTACTTAAAGCCAGGCTTATAGTGTGAAGTGCAGGGAAGCCTGCGGTGAGCACCTTGGGGTCTGGGAGGGCTCTCTGACCCTCGACCCCCCGCTTCCCCCGCCCCCCCACCCCCGTCCCCCTGCCCCAGAGCCCCACTGGCTCATTTTCCTGTCTGCGCCTCTGCACTTTTCCTACCTGGTTCTGTTTTCTCCAGGAGAGCTGCAAAATGGGTTCATTTCCTGGGTTTTCCTCTCCCGAGGAGCCACTTAGAAACCCGGCCCCTCCGGTCCACTGGAGCTACTGAGTCAGAATCTGAGCAAAGCCGTACCCTCGGGTGGTTCACATGCGTGTTGAAGTTTGACAAGCGCTCTTCCAGATGAAGTGGGTTTCAGTTTACACGTTTTATTTTGTTTTGGAGGACTGGCCACGCCTGTTAGACCTTTTTTTTTTTTTTTCTGTTAGACCTTTAATCCGTGGGAAAGAGAGCTTGTACTGAGCTTGTAAATAAGTTCGCTTGTAAATAAGTAAGCAGCTTGTGGCTGCTTGTGGGTTGTCACAGCTCTTAAAGTGAAGATGAGGAATCTCTTTTCATTTTCCTACCTTAATTTTGACTTGTCCTGCTTTAATATATAAATAGCATTTCTCTGAAGTTATTTTACTTAAGTGCCAGTGCACACAAACACACACATTTTAGCTATCAAAACATATATGTAACTCTACTGGTCAGAAATCAGGAGAAGATTAAAGTGCCATAGTGATTGAATAAGGTGAAGGAAACCACCCCCCTTCATTATTATAGCATCTTATCTCTTTAGTCCATGTTCTTCTTTTTACTGCTTTTTCATGCTAACTCAGTAAAGTATGAAGAATGTACCCTGAGTTGTACATGTTAGTCCAGGGATGGCAGTTTTTATTTTCTGAGTTTCTTATCTTTCTACTGCCTTGGGTTGGGGGCTGTGCTAAAGGCTGATTTCCGGGGGTGCTGATACAAGCATCAGGGGAAGGGGTTCAGTTGTCACATTCTTCTGTGGCTTAAAGATTCTCTGCTGACAGAGAAACAAACCAACAAGACAAATACAACTGGGCACGCCGTCTGGATTCTCCACTGCTGCATCTGTGTCTGAAGGGAGAGGGTGGCTGGGTTTCCTCGTGACCATGTCTCTGCCCACAGATCGCGGCCCTGGAACAAGCCATCAGAGACGCCCACGAGTGTGATGATGGCGAGATTCAGCTCTACAACGAGCAGATCGACACCCTGCGGAAGGAGACCGAAGAGGCAGAGAGGAGCCTGGAGAGGTCATCCTATGACTGCCGGCAGCTGGTGGTTGCCCAGCAGACCCTGAGGAACGAGTTGGACCAGTATCATCGCATCATCGAGAATACAGGCAACAGGTGGGGTCGGGGTGGGCAGAGCCCGTGGGCACAGAACCACTTACTTGTTTTATGTTTTTCCATGTGCCAGTTCCAGGCTGTAGGGAATGTGGCAGGAAAGTGAAAGTGTTAGTTGCTCAGTCTTGTCTGACTCTTTGTAACCCCCTGGACTATACCCTGCGAGATTCCTCTGTCCATGGGATTCTCCAGGCAAGGATATTGGAGTGGGTAGCCATTCTGTTCTCCAGGGGATCTTCCTGACCCATTGCAGGCAGATTGTTTACTGTCTGAGCCACCAGAAGCAGACCCCCATATCCAGGACCTCACGGGTCTGGAATGGCAGTGGGGGAGGCAGAGGATGAATGGGTTTGCAACAGAGATATGGGCTCCAGTGTGAGTGATGGTGGGAGGAGGGGAGAGGTGATGAAGATGACCATGGGAGTGTTTGGATGTCAAGGTGCCTTTCAGCTCCACAGGTCTCTGGGGACAGGAATGTCTTAGCTGAAAGGATGACCAGAAATGGTTATTGAGATGCTGCAGGCAAGATGCCTGCACAGTACCTGGAATTGGACCAGAGCTCAGAGCAGTTGATATTATTATTGCTGCTGCCATGGTGACCCTGAGCACCTGGCCAGTCAGTTCTGTGGCTGCCAGCAGGCTGTCTGGTCTCCTCTGCATGATGCATTGGGACGTGAACTCTGCTGGCAAGTGTCTCTGTCTCTGTCTCAGCCTCATTCACATCTACACCTGCATCAGCTACTCTCAGTTTCCTCCATGTTCATCTATGTGACCATGTCTGCACCTACATGTATACTTATGTCCACATCTGTGTCTACAGCGTCTGTATGTGTACATCTACACTACACCTACATTCTCTACATCATCTGGAGCTACACCCACATCACCTAACCTACATCTGTATCATCTACACCTACACCTGCCTCTACATCACCTACGCCTACATCATCTCTATCTACATCTGACACCTACTCGGCCATCTATGTCTGTCTGGATCATCTACATGTACGTCTACCCCACATCTGCATTTTCTGCACCTGCACCATCTTCAACACCTCTGTTATTTATGCTGATGCCTGCATCACCTACATTTACACCTGCACTTACCTCTATGTCTACATCTGCATCTCTACCTCCATCCACATCTACATCATCTGTATCCATGTCTATATCACTTACATCTGTATCTACATACACCTATATCTACATTATCTATGGTTACACTTACATCTTTATCACCTAAGCCTACACCTCATCTACACATAAAGTATGTAAATCTCCATCATCTTTATGTACATGCATGAAGTATCTATACCTCCATGGTTTTTGTGTACATGTATAAGCTGTCTACATCTCCATTGTTTTTATGTACAAGTATAAAGAAAGCTGAGCACCAAAGAATTGATGCTTTTGAACTGTCATGTTGGAGAAGACTCTTGAGAGTCCCTTGGACTGCAAGGAGATCCAAACAGTCCATCCTAAAGGAGATCAGTCCTGGGTGTTCATCGGAAGGACTGATGTTGAAGTTGAAGCCCCAATACTTTGGCCACCTGATGTGAAGAGCTGACTCATTTGAAAAGACCCTGATGCTGGGAAAGACTGAGGGCAGGAGGAGAAGGGGATGACAGAGGATGAGATGGTTGGATGAGATGACTGACTCAATGGACATGAGTTTGAGTAAACTCCTGGAGTTGGTGATGGACAGGGAGGCCTGGCGTGCTGCGGTTCATGGGGTCACAAAGAGTCAGAGACAACTGAACCACTGAACTGACCTGATAAACTGTCTACATCTCCATTGTTTTTATATACATGCATAAACTGTCTACACCCCCACTGTCTTTATGTACATGTATAAACCATCGGTACCTGCATTGTCTATATACACACACATCTACAGTGGTGTCTCCATTATTCCTATCTGTACCCATGCCTACATATATGGCTGTATCTACCTGTGTTGGAGAAGGCACTGGCACCCCACTCCAGTATTCTTACCTGGAAAATCCCATGGACGGAGGAGCCTGGTAGGCTGCAGTCCATGGGGTCGCTAAGAGTTGGTCACGACTGAGCGACTTCACTTTCACTTTTCACATTCATGCATTGGAGAAGGAAATGGCAACCCATTCCAGTGTTCTTGCCTGGAGAATCCCAGGGACGGGGTAGCCTCGCGGGTTGCATCTATGGGGTTGCACAGAGTCGGACACGACTGAAGCGACTTAGCAGTAGCAGCAGCAGCAGCAGCCACCTGGAACTAAAAGCCCGCCTTTTGGACGAGACAGGGTGAAATGGTGTGTTTTATGAAACTTTAAGTTTCTCCTCTTGGCTGGTCTGAAGCAGTGAATGTGGCCTCTGGCCCAGGGGATTCCCATTCTGGGTTTAAGGGCATAGTTTCCTCTTGTTTCACAGGAGGAAGGGGATGGTAAGCAAGGAGTGGTGGTGTTTATCTGGCTTGGGGTGCAGGGGGGCCAAGGGTGTGCCTGGAGGCTATTCCAAACCCATCAGAGGAAGGTGGGGTGACTCTGAGTTGCTCCTTTGGGGCAGCCTGAGGTGACAGTGGCTGTCTGGACTGAATTTCCTGTTGTGGGCTGGATCCAAGTGTCCCCTGTGACCCCGAGGTGAGGGTGCTGGAGTGAGGCAGAGGCCCTGCTCCCACAGAGTGTCATTGCAGGAGAAACACGGATCTCAGTAAGTTGTACCCAGTGTGAAGGGAACTGTGGGGGCCTCCCCTCCGCTCTGCAAGCCCAGAGGGGCCAAGTGACTTGTCCTAAAGTCACACAGCAGCCCGCAGGGCTGGGTCCTCAGTGTGGGCCATGAATGCTTAGGACCCAGGGATCCTACCTTGTTGCCAACCAGCCAACCAGTAAACCCCACCCCAGTGCCAGGCTTGTATTTTTCAACAAATACTTTTTCTTCCTCTTTCATTGGCTTTGACTCATTGCACCCGCCTCCTTTTTTTCTTTTTTCAAAGATCTTACCAGAGATGTGCAGGATATAACTGCAGTGAAACCAAGACTCAAAGGCCTCCCCAAGAACCTTCCGAGGAAAAAGGAGATGGTAGCGAAAGATACAGCAGATAAAATTCTGGAAGAGACACCACTGAGAGACCCAGAGGACACAAAGCCGGGGCGGGTGGTGCTCAAAGAAGAGGACAAGTCTAAGCTTGAACCGGGGGATGAAGAAGCAAGTCCCCCGACCTAGGAAGGGGCTCTGGAGGATGTCCCAGATGGAGACAAGATAAGCAAAGACTTTGAGAAACTAGGCAAGATGATCAAGGAGGTGAAAGGCCCCAAAGAACCCGAGCCCCCTGCCGACCTGTACACCAAAACGCGGCACATGACAGTCTCTGGAGATGCCAGTCTCGTGGGTCCTGGCTTCTGTGTCTTCTCCGTCCCAGCAAAGGGGGCGTGGTGGCTTCTAAGGGGGAGACTCTGTGCGTCCTGACAGCGGCGTGGAGCCCTCTCCCCAGCAGCCTGAGAACCCTCTGGAGGATGGACAGGGTTCCCCCAGGGGAAAGAAGACAGTCTGAAGGAGGAAGGGGGGCCCCCAGGGGGAAGAAGATGCTCTGAAGGATGAAGGGGGCCCCCAGGGGAAAGAAGATGCTCTGAAGGATAAAGGGGGCCCCGATGGGGAATAAGATGGTCTGAAGAAGGAATGAGGGCCCCCAGGGGGAAGAAGATGGTCTGAAGGATGAAGGGGGCCCCCAGGGGAAAGAAGACAGTCTGAAGGAGGAAGGGGGCCCCCAGGGGAAAGAAGATGCTCTGAAAGATGAAAGGGGGGCCCCAGGGAAAAGAAAACGGTCTGAAGGATGAAGGGGGCCCCTGAAGGGGAAAGAACATGGATGCCCCCCACCCCACACCCTGCAGACAAAGGGGATGAGAAAAATGCCAAAGAACTGAAGGGCCTTCAGGGGAAACAGGATGGCCAGAAGGAGGAGGAGGGGGACAGACGGCCCTGTCTCATGGTGGCACCTGGTCCAGAGGGGCTGTCTACACCCCGGTCTCAAGGGCCTCAGGTCACTCTGGGTGGGTCCAAGGGGCATGGGGCTCAGAGCGGCAGCCGGCCTGTGAGAAGCCCTCCCAGGAAGCTGGCCTGAAAGAAAGTGGAGGTGATGGAATCCATAGAGAAGTTTTCCACCAGGAGCATCCAGATGTACAGATGAAGAGACTGTTGTCGTTGTGGAGACCACGATTGAAAAGACAAGGCAAAGAAGAAGAAACTGGGAGAGAAGGGATCCTCCAGTGCCTGAGCTAACCAGGAGGAGGTGCCTCTGGGTCCCTGCAGACGTGTGCTTCGATGTCTTAGAACAGAGGTTACAAGGGTGAGGATACAAGGTTCTTGTTTGGATTAGACCAGGGTTGGCCTGTCTGGCTTACCAATGAAGCCTTAATTAAAATGTTTTCTTTGCTTGCACATCCTTTGTCTGATTAACAGGGGCCTTGGGCTTGCATGTGGGCCAGCCTCACTCAGGACAGGGTTGCCCTGCTAACAGCCACTGAGCTGAGCTCATTTAAGAAAGTAGCCCTTCGTCCTGGAGCATTGCAGGGCTCATTAGAGGCTCAGAGTCTGGATTTCACACCTGAAACGTGTCAGGTGATGAATCGGCTTGTTTTCACCACATTTCAGGCACAAGCACATGGTTGCACGACGGGTGCTTTGTTAGAAGTCAGATAATTAAAGGTGTCTGTCTCAGTTTGGATTCCCCAAGAAGCTGACCCTGCAGCAAGGATCTGATGTCATTTCTGGGGATGTGGTCCCAGGAAGTGCTAGGAGGGCAGGAGACGGAAGTGGGGGCAGCAGGGCATCAGAGAGGAGAGGTGCTACCAGGTGGGTTGGCACCGTGGTCGGCTGGCACTCAGCCCCCATCCCTCGGGGCTCTTGGAAATGGGGTAGAATTCAGTCTTCAGTTACCCTGCCTGAGGATGCAGGGGCTGGGTAGGTCAACACCCAGCCAGAAGGGAGGGCCCAGGACAGAATCGCAGGTGCAGGCAGGCGTTTGGACACCAGGCGTGGAGATCCATGGAAGCAGTAGGGGTCACGGGCAGGAAGTAGGGTGCCAGGGCCACCTGCATAGCACACATACCTTGTGTCCTTCTGGCTGAGTCACTTAAGAGTTTCTCACTCAGAGATTGCACTCCTGGGTCAGGCTTCAAAAGCAAAATCAAATGTCATCACGCAGTTCCTTGTTCAGCAGTTAATTAATGAACTTGCCTAACATTTACTGAGGGGCTTCCCTGATGGCTCAAGTGGTAAAGAATCTGCCTGCAATTCAGCAGACATAGGAGAGGCTGGTTCAATCCTGGGGTTGGGGAGATCACATGGAGATGGAAATGGCAACCCACTCCAGTATTCTTGCCTGGGAAGTTCCATGAACAGAGGAGCCTGGTGGGCTACATCCATGGGGTTGCAAAGAGTCAGACATGACTGAGCGACTGAGCACAGATGCACATTTACCAAACATACTGTTTGCCAGGCAGAGTGCAGTGCTGATAAGGGAGAGTTTATAAGTTTATTAATGATCTCAATTACCATAATATAATGTCCCATAATACACATATGTGTATTCTCCTGTGCATACATGTGCACTCAGGTATCTGCAGTGTCACATCCTTGGAAACAGAAACTACTTGAAACCAGAATCTTTACAAACATTTTTATGCTGCCTATAGGCATCTCTTTTTCTCTACTAACAATCCAAAAGTTTTTTGTTTTTTTGTTTTTTTTTTTGCTTAGCCAAATAAGAAATTACTCCTTCTCCATGCAGATGCTTCAAAATACATTATGGGCAGTGAATAAATGTGCTGAAATGGATTATTGCATCTCCCTAAACAAAGGTATCTGGCAAGACAACCACACATCATTAGAGAAAATTAATAGTGTCATAAATTACATTCTAGTATTTCTTTGTTAGAAATCATACAAAGAATACTAAATGGAGTCACCTTTCCTTTCTGTGTAGAGCTTTAAAAAAATCTCTCTCTGAATTCATGTGAGGTTTGGATTTCAAGATAGACATATGCTTTTGTTGCTCTTTCTATAAGATGAGTGAAGGACCTGCTCCATGGCACATTTTGAAATATGTATCATTTAAAAGCTTAAGAGAGAATAATGGAAACTTTTACCTGGAGCCCAGACTGTGCTGGGAATTTGGACCAGTGTATATATTAGATTCAACAGAACCACTCCTACAAAGCTCGTCTTTTCCCCAGTAAGTCTTTTAATTTTGGGGGTCATGTGTTCGGCTAATTATTTTAAAAGTTGGGGGGTATCTTTTTGGAAATAAATGTCATTTTTATATTTTATTCAATCAGTGATCAAAAGTGGACTGGGGGTCCTGTTCTGATCATTCAAGGCTTTGGCGGGGAGACAGCAGGGGACACTGAATGTGTTCAGCTGTCACAGTCACGACTTTCTGAGCAAGGGAGGAATTGCACCGGCAGGAAGATAACTAAATAAGAGGAAATTATGCAGAGAAGGCACCACAGGGGCATGTGCTAGACAGAAAGGGTGTCTCTTCTGGGGTGGACAGTCCAGTGAAGACCCCATGGATGAGGTGATGACCTGATGACAAGACGGGCCCATGGTGTGCAGATCAGAGGGAAGAGCATTGTAGGTAGCAGGAACGGCTGGTGCAGAGGTCCTGGGGCAGGAATGGACTAGGCTATTCAAGGAAGACAAGTAAAGGGGGGAGTGTGGGAGAAACAGGAGGAGGGGAGGAAGGTGGTGGGTTGAGGGGGACTGAGGGGTCAGATGAGCAACATCTCCCAGAGCTCCCCTTGCTTGAAGGCAGGCTTGCAGTGTGATGTGCAGGGCAGCCTGTGGTGAGCGCCTTGGGTTCTGGGAGGGGTCTCTGACCCTTGCACCTCCCCGCTCCCCCTGACCCAGTGCCCCACCCGCTCATTTTCCTGACTGCTCCTCTGCACTTTTCCTACTTTGTTCTGTTTCCCCCAGGAGAGCTGCAGAACGGGTTCATTTCCTGGGTTTTCCTCTCTTGAGGTCTCTGAAAACAAGCACTTAAGTTTGTATAAAAAAGATAAACACAGGGGCCCAAAGCAGGTTCCCCAGCAACACAGATGACAGGAGAAGGCTGGAGCTTTGCCAAACACTGAGACCCCACAGTGCCAGTGCCCGGATGACTGGTCCAAACTGCTGTGTCGGGGAGCAGGAGAAGGCTGGGCTCCTCTTTGACTCAGCCTCAAGCCCAGGACCGAGACTGTCCAGAGCCACCTCCTCCATAAAGAAACTGCCTCCCAGTTCCCAGGAGCCCCCATTCTCCAAGCATTGGAGTCACGGTGACCAGTGACCACTGTTGTTTCAGCCGCAGTTAGGAGCTGGCCCCCAGGTTGGTCCTCCCGCCCCCGCCGGTCTGGTTCAGGTCCCCATGCACAAGCAGCAGAGCAGGCACGTGTGACTCTGCGGGGGCTCCTGTAGCCCCAGGAGTGAGCTCGGTCCACACACTGGGCAGGCTGGCAGTACTGGGGCTCCGGGAGCAGCCCTCATCTAGAATGGAGATGCCCAGGTGCATGGACACCCCAGCTCTCTTGCCCCTCCATTGGGACCACCCCGAGGCTTGTTGTACACGGTCCCCAGTGGGTGTCAGCTGCAGATGCGGGTGGAGGGACCCACTCATCCCTGTGGCCCGAATGGGACCCCTCCTCTCCTCTCCCACTTTCTACTTCCCTACGTAAAGATGCTTCCTTCCAAATAAATAACTTTACCTCGACTCCTGTGTCACAGTCAGCTTCTGGGAGGAACAATCTGAGATGGCTGGTTGGCGTCTCCCCAGCAAACACCCCTCCCTCCCCACTGCTGGGTGGGCGCAGCTCTGATCTTGTCCTGAGGAGCTGCTCCTTCACACGCGTTACAGCCCTGATCTGACCCACGAGACACCCCGCCTTCCTCTCCCTGTGGGTGGGCAAGTGTCCCAAACCAGACCCACTGTTGGAATAGGAGATCCGAGTCCAGCGGAGCCAAGATGAATAATGCAGGAGCCACCCTGTGATTGGGGAGTCCTGATGTGGTCCCCACGGTCCCCACTGTGCCTCCCGGTCCCGGGGCTCGATACAGCCCCTGTCCGTTT